AGTATTTCACTGTTCACATAGATAAACATTAAATTAACCATCTATTTACAACAATTCAACTCTCAAGATTGGAATACAGCAAAGGAAAAAAGCTTTCCAACTATCTTTTTCCATATCTTTTTTCTAATACGTAAATTTTTTTGTTAAAAAATATTCATAGAACCATCAACCAGGATTGAATATTATATTTCCAATTAACAATTTACAAAGACTTGTACATGGAAAAAAAATTCTCAATTCGATGTTAATTTCTCTTCACATATAAACACATTTGGTGGCATAACATTAATCCCAAATATGCAAGCATAAAAACAAATTCACTTCAATAACTACTTTATTATGATCATATTAACTAGTGGATTGATTTGATGGATTCAAACAATAGTTAGAACTTGAGCTCAAATCAAATCGAACTTAAAACTTGAGTAGCCAACATACAATCAACTCGAAGTCGAATTAACTGAAATACGATCAGAATATTTTGAGGGTAAACGTTTTGTCCTCAAACCATAATTTGAAAATATCCAGGCAAACTTTCGTTAGAGTATTATGAACTTGTATCAAATTTAAATGTGGCCTCAAATAAATGTGCTTTTATTAGAACAGTTTGTGTTCAAATCACTTAGACTAATATATAGAACCTTGACTAATTTGTCTTGATTCATATTGAAGACATTTTCACCCATGAGAAAATATCTTAGTGGCAACATAAACTTTCTAATAAGTACTGGTTTTGATTATGAGTGATGTCTCTTCTTAGAAGTGCTATCTTTTTATTGAACAAAAATGTTCATAATCACTGGTTTTCTAAACTAGATATCCATCTTATTCTACCCATCGAAATTTAGTCATTTTTAAACTCGAAAAAAATATTCGACATGCATCTTGTTGGATAGATCTCGACGAATGCAATAAAATTAATGTGTAACACGTTTTCTAATTCTTCACGGATTGAGAGATATGGTCGTTTAAAGATTAGAGATATTTTTTAAAGGAGAGAGAAAAAAAATCAAAGGGACTAAACCTGTAAATTATAGGATGTTATTTAGAAAAGTAGATAAAAGTGTACTAAGGACTAGTAGTACAAAAAATAGGAGGGGGAGGATGGTGCCCCCGGGTATACTGGATAGAGACTCCTTTTTTAGATTATATGTGTGGCTCCATACTAGATAGTATTGGATGTTATTGGGTACCACAATAATTTTTTTTTAAAAAAAAAGATACAGAACGCATGCGAATAAGATTGAGTCTTTGATAATCAGGAATCCTTAATTGGCTCTGTCAATTGAAAATTCACATTAATTAGATTGTCTCAATGTACGTGTATTGTGTTTGCTCTGCATCTGCATTTTCGACAAAAAAACATTATCACAGTCGTCTAAATCTGAAGGTAGGTCATTTTTGACAAGTACAGAAATCATGGTGTTGTTGGAGGTCAAAGCTATCTACTACCGTGGTGAAGGCAGCTAGCTAAATTGGAAATTACTCCCTCCCGTCCTTAATATAAAGAATTTTGATTTTGTCTTAGGTTTCATCTAATACGTATTTTTAATTGACGAAAAAATTTTAAAAATATATTTTCACATTTGTTGTATTTTCTTAATTGTTATAAAATATTTTTAAGAATTTTTTTGCCAATTAAAAATATATATTAGGTTAAACCTAGGACAAATCAAAATGCCTTATATTAAGGACCGGAGAGTCTTGGATAAAATAAGAGCAAAAATTAAGAAATGGAGGGTGGAGGATGTATCACTTCAAGGAAGGGTCACACTTACTAAGCATGTCCTGGGAACAATGGCGCAGTACGTAATGGGTGCTTTTAGGATTCCACAATCCATAGCTACTAGGATTGACAAGTTCCTGGCAAGGTTCATCTAGAAAGGGGACGTAGATGGTAGAGGAATCCACTAGAGAGCGTGGGATGCGGTATGTAGATCAAAACTGAGGGGAGGGTTGGGGGTGAGAAAGGCAACGCATTTAAACCAAGCTTTCCTAGGGAAGCTGGCCTGGAAGATTGGAGGTGGGGAAGAATCTCTGTTCACTAAGTTCTTCAAGGCACGGTATTGGAATACAGACTTCTGGATGGTGACCCAGAGAAATCAAGATACATGGGGATGGAAAAACATATTGTGGGGAAGGGACTTAGTCAGACGAGGTTTGAAATGGAAGGTTGGAAATGGGGAAACACTAGGGTTACAGAGGAATGGATCCCAAGGGCAGCTAATCCCCTGGCAAGGGGACCATTGAATAAAGACTTGGCAAACATAAGAGTTAGGGACTTGCTAGAGGATTCTGGTAACTGGAAGGTGCCGATGGTAAGAGCCTTATTTCCTGAAGAGATTGGGTCTAGAATCCTTGCAATCTATGTTGGGGGCTATGGCCGTTTGAAACCGGATCAACCATACTGGGAGAAAACAAACGAAGGGATGTACACGGTCAAATCCGGCTATCATGAGGCTAGTAACATGGAGGAAATAAGACGGGCATCTACGTCAGAAGGAAGGGAAGCCCAGCCTATAGAACAACAGGAGGCGTTCTAGAAGAAGTTTTGGAAAATCCCAGCCCCAAGGAAGGTTCAATTTTTTCTATGGAGGGCTTTGGTGAACGCTTGCCCTACGGTGGTTCAACTCTGGAAGAGAGGAGGATTAATTCCCCCCACATGCCCAAGGTGTGGAGAGGAATAAGAGTCAATAGAACATCTTCTCCTAGGGTACATTGAGTCACAAACGGTTTGGAGAATGTCTAGACTAGGATTCAATTTTGCACGATATAGAGACATCTGTTTTGTCGATTCTAACTGCACAGATTTCGTTGTCCACCGATCGGCTTGCTGAAACTCTACTGGCCATGAAAAGGACTACTAGATATGTATCGGTGATAGCTGACTCTACTGTGATTGCAACGACAGCTGTCGAAAGGTCACCGTCGGCGGCTGAAACTGTTAGGACTCATGATCAAAAACTGTAGATTGTTGTCCACCATCTTTGAATAGAACTTGCGCATTGCTCTGACTACCATCGACCCAATCATAACAACTGAATTGATGCAACCGATTGCTAAAAATCGGCACTTTCAAATTGCTGATCTACGCCACATTGATCATCTAATTGGATAAAATTGCATACAGCTCTGTAATCGGTTCCTTGAGAGTTGTAATTGGCATAAGCATTCAGAATCGATGCACTAACAAGATTTGCATCTTTCTAGTGATCAACACTATTTTGGCACCAACTGTAGTCATGGCACTCAATCTGCTTTTTCGGTTGTTGATCGATGACATACATAACCCTAGAGCAACATAGTGCCGATGCAAGTTGTTGGAAATTCTACCCACCATGTGGTGATGGGTTATACTGTATATGGGGTTGTGTGGATAGAGGTTGTTGAGATATTTGCCCACCAAGTGCTGATGAGCTATATTGGATGTTGTGGGATGTGTATGTCAGGCTAGATTTTCAGGCGATTGACTACATGGAATGAGGGTATAGACCGGACCTCCAAAAGTGTTAAAGGCATAATATTGGGTGTTTCAATACGCCATGACAAGGGAAAAGGAAAAGACTTTTTTTTTTATGACAAAGAGAACTTCGTCGTATGATGACAAACTTCCACGATTTACAAATCAAACTAAAGCTTGTCTCACTGGGTGTGCCAAATTATGTTTGCGTGAAAATTGTGCACCCAAAACCGTGGAAAGAGGGGAAAAGGAATCACCCAAAACACAATTAAATTAGACGATTGTGGTTGAGTTCGAACCGGCTTCGAGCATGATCGATTACTTAGGGTTATTGGTTTCAATTGGAGAAAGACAGGTAAAGACTTAGAGAAAGTGGGGAAAAGCCTAGAGATGGCGTTTGACTCGTAAAGTGGAAAATCCTAGCGTCGGCAAGCTATAGATGATGCTGATGACATGCTATTACATAGAAGACAAAGACAGGATGGACGTGCTGAGGGCAGTCCGACATACATAAGTGTTAGAACACCTATTACAACATAACCGAATTCGTTGGATGAGAAAACGGTGAACACCTACCTAATTCTATGTAGGAGAAAAAGGCAAACAACACTATTGTTAAGCTAGGGGCTAAGCAAGCATGATAGAACGTGATGAACTACCATAGGGAAGGTAAAACATGCTAAACGGTAAAAGAAATAATAAAGGACAATGAAAACCAGTCGTATGGTTGATCGGTGATGATTTTGTCTTCATGGCTACCTCTATTTATAGTACTTGGATAAAACCCATGCTGCCCTATGATTCCTTTGAGAAAAGGTAGTTTAACATGGTCAATTTCCTTGAAAATAAGCAATTATTCCTGCAACAGTCTTCCAATCGGTTGATGATTCTTTTCACAATTAGCTCTTAATTTGGTAATAGAATTCTTTCCCAAAAATATCTCCTTAATTACTATTAATTTCCCTTATTAAAAGGAGGAAGAAATAAGGAGGAATCTCCCTCAATTGCCAATTAATCACGCAGCCGATTTTGGAGCAATTCTATTCTCACTCGGTTTCTACTTTCCTTTTCCAATTCTGAATCTGTTCATACTCAATCAGTCCATATTGACCTCAAACGTATTTTGGCCCCCTTTTGGGCTATTTTAGAGCCTTAAAACCTCAGCCATAATCACATAAATTCACAAAAACTCATGGGCTAACACAAACATCACATGTCGGCCAAAATATCCAAAAACTGGCCGAACATAATGCCCCCCGAACGTAAATATTAAATATGACTTTGATATAAACGTTGATAAACACTCTGCTACCACCAACCAGACGCATTCCATGTGGCCCTTAGATCTACATAACACCATCCCACCGGATACATAGCATAATATGGTACCCCACGCATAATGTGAATAATGCGGATTGAAGAATGGTGCATGCTTACTTCTTTGGGACAGCTGAAACTTCCCCTTAAAGCTACTATCAGTTCTGGAACGAGACTTAGACTCTTGTGATATTTGCCTTCACGAATTACTTCCACGATTCCTCTATTCTTGAGCCATGTTAACACTGAGGCCCGATTTTGGACTGAACCGGGCATCTAAAGTAGGAGAACTAAAAGCACTGTTCACCTTTTGCTTCTCGTCATCTTGAACTTTAACACCAGGAACAACACCTTTGTTCTTGACCTCCTTTGTAACTGTTGAGAAGTGTCGACCTTGATTCAATGAAGAAGTAGTCACCCTCTCGCGCCTTACCTCAAACTGGTTGTTAAACTTCTTAAGAACTGGATTTGTCGCTGTAACACTACTAACTATATTAGAACCAATTTCCTTGGCGCCTTCCTTGTCAGTGACTGCTAGCGAATCTCGACCTTGCACAATCAATGAAAAATTAATCGGCTGCTCGCATCTTCCCTCTGACTGACTGTCGAACTGTATGAAAACTGGGAAAGAGATGGCAGAACCACTAACTGTATTAGATGTCTGCTTGCAGATCTTTTCTTTGTTGATTGTTGATGCCAAATTGATTCCACTTAATGCCAGCTGATTGTTATCATCTTTTAACTGTGACTGAATCTGTTGCTCCTCCATCGGCTTAACAACTTTTAGCTCCGCTTCATCATTCTTCAACCGATTATCTTCATTGCATTCTTTATCCTCATTAACCTTCGGCTTCATATCAACATCCTTTTTGGCCACTATCTTTTCAACATGAAATTCTCTAATCCTCTTTGGTGTAGACCCAAAAGTTTGGCATAAGCTCGAGTGCAACGCCTTCTCCCTTGACTAGCTAATGATTTTAGGATCCTCTGATCAACGGTCAACTCAAACTTCCATTCTACAACAGCACCATAATCCAGCCAGACAATGTATTTCTCCTCCTGACTCTCATCGGATTCAGCATCAACACAAAGAGAATCGGCCCAGATAAAGAGTTTGTAGACTTGGCTCTATCGGCGTGACAAAAAGAATGTTGCATGGACTTACCTTTATGCCTTTTGTTGTTCAACCTCACGGAGCCTCTCTTGTCGTAAATCCATGCATGATTGGAGCATCCTTTGGCTTGTGAAGGAACGACCATTTGCTTAACTCGATTGCCACCAGAATCAGTATGCCGAACTTGACTTTTATTACCATGAAACCCCTTTTTTGGGACGCTCTTTTCTTCCGGCAACTTGATCTTGCCCATGTTAACCTGTTTATCCTGGTGTGTCTTCAAATGGTTTTGATCAAGTTGCTCAAGAGAAACAGAATCGGCCAACAAATCCAGCTGCCGAGCTTGATCACTATTATTGGAAATCAATTCTGCGGATACTTCACCAGTAACCAATGATGTGGTTGTGCTTGCTTTGGCTTGATCAACACTGAGTGTCATTAGTATGCTTTTATTTTGCAGACTAAACTGTGAGGAAATAAAAGCTGATGCGGCGGCTGCCCCATACGGCCAACCATTGGAAATAGTTCCCTTTGACATTTCATTAGTTGTCGGTGAAGTGTCTTTAGTATCATCACTATCAAGCATTATCAATTGGCCTTGTTCTTGGTGACTGGGATTTGGAGAATCTGAAGCTATGTTGGATATAAAACCAGACTGTCGAACACAGCTATCATCAGAACACTCGCTCTTTTTAAACACGTTGCCTGAGCTACCTTCAATTGATGACAACTTCATCTCACTCGTAGCAGCAAATTCAACCCCGGCTGAATTCAAGAAACATTGTTCTTCGTGCTCCAATGGTGAGGAACTTGAAACCTGATGGGAAGGGCCAGAATGTCGAATGTGACCATGACCATTAAGACTCGCATCCATATCTTTCAAACCATTGTCAATTGATGACAGCTTCGTTTCACTTGTTTCAACCACATCGATCTTGTGTATTGTTGAATGCCTTTGACCTTGATGACCCATAATTCTACTGTCTGTAAAGCTTTTATCACCATGGACTCGAGGTTCTCCATCACACTGGTCTCTGCATTTAATATTCTCATATACCTCTTAATTGCTTTTGGACTTGCTATATTTGCTTTGTAGATTAGCACACTCTTAAAAACCATTAACATCTACGGAATCATCAAAACATAAAGATTCAATCGCTACCTCCACCGTTGGAACTTGGGACACGTATCGCACCATATTATCAAAATTTCTCATACAAGCCTCCATGTCTTTATTCAAACCATCAAACATTTCTTCTATGTTCACCATGGATTTATGAAACTTACTTCGGTTATCATCAATCTTGGCCCATCCATTTACATTAAATATGGATGATGGGTATCTCGCAAGCTAGCCTCTATCACCTCTACTAACAATCACAGAACCGAACTAAAAACTTAAATCAACATGATATTGCCAAGTACCCATACCTTCTGGATTGAGTGTGCAACAAACAACTCCAAGTTGATGTGTATCATTGTAAACTGTTGATCGTCCAACGGTTTGCTAAAACTGCAAGTCATACCTATCCAATAAACAAGATTTATCATCAGTAACTTGCCCCCAGGCATCAAAGAAATTTCTTGAGAATATCAACTATCTGAATTAGTTGGTCCTTTATCAGTAAAAAACAATATTCTGGATTGCTGATCTCACTCATGAATTCTTTGGAACCGATCGCCGCTCTGACCGGCATCACAATAACTTGTACCTACACAGATCTATTTCTTGTCAACCAACCATTTGTCTTCAACATACTACGGAACTACGAAATCATCAACTAGGTCAATCTATCTAGAATCTGAATATTGTTGGTGATCCGAATGTAAATACTGAAATAGCCGATCATGCTTTGAGAATGTCGGACGCCGATTCTGCTCCAGCAACACTCATGACTGATTCTTCATTGATGGTATTAGCACATAAATCGGTGAAAGTGATTCTTGCAACTGACCTTGCCCTGACTGAGACAAACTCTGAAAACATCTACTTGGCACCACTTGTTATTCAAACTCATTGTTTCGTACCATCTGTCTCTGAAACTGTAACATCTGCCCTTGGAACTCATTAAATGGTACCGTCTTCTGATCAAACGACATTATGCATTCATGGAACGCCACTGACTGTTGCTAAAACTGATGCGATTGCATCACTTGTTGTTGACCATATTGAACTGGTTCTAATGACGACTGCAACTCCGTAGCCTGTATTTGTTCCATCGGCAATTGGCTTTTGATTAACCCTGATATAAAATGAACTTCATGATCCAACAATGACTCCTGCAGCTTATGTAATTGTTCTATCGGCATCGATAGCTGGTTTTGTACTGTCAATAGTAAATTAGAACCCTGGAGATTCGGCAAAGGCAACTCCACCAATCCTTGCAATTGTGTCATTTCTTATTGAAGCTGTTGATCCAATAATCGTTGGATCGGCTAATAATGTACTAAGGATGATTGGTTTCCCACTGCCGATTGCTGCACTTGCTGACATTGTAACGATAATTGCTGCAGCTTTATCAGTGATTGCTCAACTTGCCGAGGCACTCTTGATGACGATTGCAACTCTTGGAGTGATGCTCGTAATTGCCGCATCCATTCATACTCTACCAATAATAGTTGTTGCATTTGATTAATTTGTGTCACCGATTGTTGCTTTTGTTGAGATTGTACCACCGGTTGTTGGATTGGTACTATAGATGGACCAGCATGCTCGGATTGCACTAGAGATTGTTGAATCTGCTGAAAATGCACCAATGGCCGTTGTGCCTGTGTAAATGGCTGTAACGGCATCCTAATCAACTGTGTTGCTATCTGATCAATCGGTTGAGACTCCGCTGATGATGACTGTGATTGCTCTATAGACAAAGACCATGTTGGTGATGACTGAGTAGGTGCCTCTATGGACTCTATCCATTGCTGAAGTTGCAACTATGTCTTAGACTGGACTGACTGTGAAATCTCATGAACTGATTGAGACTCCATCGGTAATGAATAAAATGGCTGGATCTCTACCGAGGATTGTTGTTGAACTGATTCTAGACATTGTGTCAGCTGCTGGGACTGTAATGGCATAAGCGATTAATTAGTTGGCTGGGGCTACTTTGGTGGTGACCAAACTCGTCAGATCAATCCATATGGCAACTAAATATCCTGATACTCCATCGACAACGAATATGGCTGGTGGACATGTGCCAATGTAGATGATGTTTGCCGATGGTGTCACTACGTCTCTTGGATCGGCTCTGCTGCTGAATTATTATTCTGATGCTGAATTGGTTGTAAGCAAAACTACTGGACTTGTGCCAATGATAGCTGAATTTGTGAAGACTCCATTAGCGACCAACGGGACCGTGTTGACTCTAACTGCATAGATTATATTGTCCACTGATTGGCTAGCTAAAACTCTACTAGCCGTGAACAGGAGTGCTGGATATGCATCGATGATAGCTGACTCGGCTGTGATTGCGACGACAACTGTCGAAATGTCACCGTCGATGGCTGAAACTGTTGGGACTCATGATCAAAAGCTATAGATGTTGTCCACCATCTCCGAATAGAGCTTGTGCATTACTCTGACTACCATCGAGCCAATCATAACAACCGAATCGATGCAACCGATTGCTAAAAATGGCTTGCCCCTCCGAGACTTGAAGGTTCTTGCGTTATCAGACTTTGATCTCGTTCATCGGCGTTGCCGAATTGCGGATCTAAGTGACATTGATGATCTGATTGGATAAAATGGCAGACAACAGTGTAATTGGTTCCTTGAGAGTGGTAATTGGCATAAGCATTCAAAATCAGTGCACTAACTAGATTTGCATCTTTCTTGTGATTAGCATCATTTTTGCACTAACTGCAGCCATGGCACTCAATCTGCTTTTCTGGTTATTGATCGGCGACATACATAATCCTAGAGCAAGGTTGTGCTGATACAAATTGTTGGAAATTCTGCCCATCATGTGGTGATGGGTAAAATTGTATATGGGGTTGTGTGGCTAGAGGTTGTTGAGATATTTGCCCACCAAGTGGTGATGTGTTATATTGGATGTTGTGGGATGTGTATGTAAGGCTAGAATTTTCAGGCTATTGACTACATGGAACGAGGGTATAGATCGGACCTCCAGAAGTGTTAAAGGCATAATATTGTGTGTTTCGATACTCTATGAAAAGGGAAAAGGAAAAGAATCTTTTTTGTTTTGGATTTTTATACGAAGAAAACTTCGTGGTATAGTGACAAACTTCCACGATTTAAAAATCAAACTAAAGCTTGTCTCACTGGGCGTGCCAAATTATGTTTGAGTGAAAATTGTGCACCCAAAACCGTGAAACAAGTGGAACATGAATCACCCAAAACATAATTAAATTACACGATTGTGGTTGAGTTCAAACTGGCTTCGGACATGATCGAGTACTTAAGGTTATTGGTTTTAGTTGGAGAAAGACAAGTTAAGACTTAGAGAAAGTGGGAAAAAGCCGAAGAGACGGTGTTTAACTCGTAAAGTGGAAAATCCTAGCGCCGGTAAGCTATAAATGATGTCGATGACACGTTATTACATAGAAGACAAAGACAGGATGGACGTGCAGAGGGTAGTCCGACATACATAAGTGTTAGAACATCTATTACAATAAAACCGAATTCGTTGGACGAGAAAACAGTGAATACCTACCTAATTCTATGTAGGAGAAAAAAGCAAACAACTCTATTGTTAAGCTATGGGCGTAGCAAGCATGATAGAACGTGATGAACTACCATAGGGAAGGTAAAAACATGCTAAACGGTAAAAGAAATAATAAAGGACAAGGAAAACCAATCGTATGGTTGATCGGTGATGATTTTGTCTTCATGGCTACCTCTATTTGTAGTACTTGGAGAAAACCCATGCTGCCTTATGATTCCTTGGAGAAAAGGTAGCTTAACATGGTCAATTTCCTTGAAAATAGGCAACTATTCCTGCAACAGTCTCCCAATCGGTTTATGATTCTTTTCACAATTAGCTCTTAATTTGGTAATAGAATTCTTTCCCAAAAATATCTCCTTAATTACTATTAATTTCCCTTATTAAAAGGAGGAAGAAATAAGGAGGAATCTCCCTCAATTGCCAATTAATCACGCAGCCGATTTTGGAGCAATTCTATTCCCACTCTATTTCTACTTTCCTTTTTCAATTCTGAATCTGTTCATACTCAATCAGTCCATATTGACCTCAAACATATTTTGGCCCCTTTTGGGCTATTTTAGAGCCTTAAAACCTCAGGCATAATCACATAAATTCATCAAAACTCATGAGCTATCACAAACATCACCTGTTGGCCCAAATATCCAAAAACTAGCCGAACAGGTATGGAGGGATGAAGTCAAGGAGCTGGAAAGCATACTAGAAGACGTTGCCTTCATCGTTTCTACAGGAGGTGGGCATATACAGGAACGATATCAGCGGAGCAGTCAAGACTACGCTGATGATGACTGTGACTGCTCTATAGATGAAGACCATGTTGGTGATGACTGAGTCGCTGCCTCTGTGGACTTTATCCATTGCTGAAGTTGCAACTGTGTCTTAGACTGGACTGACTGTGAAATCTCATAAACTGATTGAGACTCTGTCGGCAATGAATAAAATGGCTGGATCTATGCCGAGGATTGTTGTTGAACTAATTCTAGACATTGTGTCACCCGCTGGGACTGTAATGGCATAAGCGATTGATTAGTTGGCTGGGACTACTTCGGTTGTGACCAAACTCGTTAGATCAGTCCATATGGCAACTGAATATCCTGATACTCCATCGACAATGATGTTTGCCGATGGTGTCACTGCGTCTCTTGGATCGGCTCTGCTGCTGAATCATTATTCTGATACTGAATCGGTTGTAAGTAAACCTACTGGACTTGTGCCGATGATAGCTGAATCTATGAAGACTCCATTAGCGATCAACGGGACTGTGTCAATTCTAACTGCATAGATTGTGTTGTCCACTGATTGGCTAGCTGAAACTCTACTGGTCATGAACAAGAGTGCTGGATATGCATCGGTGATAGCTGACTCGGCTGTGATTGCGACGACAGCTGTCGAAAGGTCACCGTTGACGGTTGAAACTGTTGGGACTCATGATCAAAAGCTATAGATTGTTGTCCACCATACTTCGAATAGAACTTGTGCATTGCTCTGTCTACCACCGAGCCAATCATAACAACCGAATCGATGCAACCGATTGTTAAAAATGGCTTCCCGAGACTTGAAGGTTCTTGCATTATCAGACTTTGATCTCGTTCATCGGCGCTGCCGAATTGCCGATCTAAGTGACATTGATCATCTGATTGGATAAAACGGCATACAACTGTATAATTGGTTCCTTGAGAGTTGTAATTGGCAGAAGCATTCAGAATCAGTGCACTAACTATATTTGCATCTTTCTTGTGATTAGCACTATTTTGGCACCAACTGATTTCCGGTTATTGATCAGCGACATACATAACCCTAGAGCAAGGTTGTGCCGATGCAAGTTGCTGGAAATTCCGCCCACCATGTGGTGATGGGTTAAATTGTAGATGGGGTTGTGTGGATAGAGGTTGTTGAGATATTTGCCCACCAAGTGGTGATGTGTTATATTGGACGTTGTGGGATGTGTATGTAAGGCTAGAATTTTCAGTCGATTGACTACATGGAACGAGGGTATAGATCATACGTCCAGAAGTGTTAAAGACATAATATTGTGTGTTTCGATAATCCATGACAAGGGAAAAGGAAAAAGACTCTTTTTTTTTGGATTTTTATGACAAAAAAAACTTCATGGTATGATGACAAACTTCCACGATTTACAAATCAAACTAAAGCTTGTCCCACTGGGAGTGCCAAATTATGTTTCCGTGAAAATTGTGCACCCGAAACCATGGGAAAAAGGAGAACATGAATCACCCAAAACACATTTAAATCAGACGATTGTGGTTGAGTTTGAACCACTTTTGGACTAGGATCATGAACTTAGGGTTATTGGTTTCAGTTTGAGAAACACAGGTTAAGACTTAGAGAAAGTGGGAAAAAGCCGAAGAGACGGCGTTTGACTCGTAAAGTGGAAAATCCTACCGCCGACAAGCTATAGATGATGTCGATGACACGCTATTACATAGAAGAAAAAGACAGGACGGACGTGCAGAGGGTAGTCCGACATGCATAAGTGTTAGAACACCTATTACAGTATAACCGAATTCGTTGGAGGAGAAAACAGTGAACATCTACCTAATTCTATGTAGGGGAAAAAAGCAAACAACTCTATTGTTAAGCTATGGGCGTAGCAAGCATGATAGAACGTGATGAACTACCATAGGGAAGGTAAAAACATGCTAAACGGTAAAAGAAATAATAAAGGACAAGGAAAACCAGTTGTATGGTTGATCGGTGATGATTTTCTCTTCATGGCTGCCTCTATTTATAGTACTTGGACAAAACCCATGCTGCCCTATGATTCTTTGGAGAAAAGGTAGTTTAACATGGTCAATTTCCTTGAAAATAGGCAATTATTCCTGCAACAGTCTCCCAATCGGTTGATGATTCTTTTCACAATTAGCTCTTAATTTGGTAATAGAATTCTTTCCTAAAAATATCTCTTTATGCTCTTAATTTCCCTTATTAAAAGGAGCAAGAAATAAGGAGGAATCTCCCTCAATTGCCAATTAATCACGCAGCCGATTTTGGAGCAATTCTATTCCCACTCTATTTCTACTTTCCTTTTTCAATTCTGAATCTGTTCATACTCAATCGGTCCATATTGACCTCAAACGTACTTTGGCCCCTTTTGGGCTATTTTAGAGCCTTAAAACCTCAGGCATAATCACATAAATTCATCAAAACTCATGAGCTATCACAAACATTACCTGTCGGCCCAAATATCCAAAAACTAGCCGAACAGGTATGGAGGGATGAAGTCAAGGAGCTGGAAAGCATACTAGAAGAAGTTGCCTTCATCGTTTCTACAGGAGGTTGGCAGATACAGGAACGATATCAGCGGAGCGATGGAGGGGGGCTTAGGGTAGGTGACACTACAACCAGTAACCTAGCAGGAGCCGGGTCAGAAGGGGACGATCACCATAAGCAATGTTACTTGAAGGGGAGTTCCGGAGTTACGACGCATGTTACATTGTTGGTCGACGGCGCTTTCAGGAAGGAGACAAGAAGTGGAGCATGGGCAGTGGTGGTAAGCGAAGGAAGATGGCTGGCTTCAAAAGCTAGGAGAGAGTACGCGTTCGATGCAACACAAATGGAATTCCGTGCAGTAGGGGAAGCAATAAAGATGGCTGCGCAACATGGAAGGCACAGAGTGGCTATAATGACAGACAGCATAACGGCGGTCCGAAATTTGAATGACCAGGAAAAGATACCGGTCTGGAACATGGGAATTCGGGAAGGGATTAATGAATTAGTGCAATGTACTACGGTATGTGTTGTATGTAAAACCACTAGGGATAATGTAGCAGAGGCTCATATTGAGGCCAGGTGTCTGGACCTTGACTTTTACTTTGTCTTAATAATAACGTAATCTTTCCAAAAAAAAAAAAAAAGGACCGGAGAGAGTAACGCAGTAGATTATATGTACTCCTTCCGTTTTGAAGTGATGGCTCAATTTCGATTTTTAGTTTTCGTCCAAATTGTATCAAAAATGAAAATTTAAAATGGTTAGACATCAAAGAAAGAGCGACAATTTTAGGATTAATTTAGACAAAACCAAAGCAAACCAACCACAGCTGGATGAACAGAGCTTATAAGCATGTAAAGTCGTTAAATACTTTTTAATACAAAAAAAAAAAAAAAGCTCAAAGAAGTCTCAAGATGCAGCCACAGAACATTTGGTTTGTTTAGTATCAACTGTAACAAGGAAGTGCCCAACACGTAAAGCCTGTCACGGCTTGTTTCCATTCGTATTCAAGTTCACTTTTCAGTCCCCGCCAAGAATCACAGTATTACTCTTCTTACTTTATATACCACGGTTAATGTGGTCAAAATAATACTTCGTTTGAAAGGTTTTGATGGTCTTGTTATAGGAAACAGGATTAACTCCTTGAGGATATAAGCTTGGAAAAGATAAGATAAAATCTATACCCCGGTTGACAATTACGAGTAATATACTCTATCTCATGAAGCTGGTAACAAACCAACCAAGCAAACATATCAGATTAATTAATTCCCAGTGAATGAATATATTCATCTACGAAATAAAATCAAACCTGGTGGTATAGTTTACAGTGAATCGATTGCTGTCCTAGCCACCGCTGGTCCCTCTCTTCTCTTGAAGGACCCTGATTGTCGAAAGAATAAACAAATTGATGCCGAAAGCATTTTAGTGTTGAATGCCGTTAACCAAATAATTAATAATTCCACTTTGGAAAATTTTCATGTAAACGGTGGAAAAGGGAGATGATGCACCTATAACTAAAGAATAATGAATTCTCACAATCGGATGGAAAAAAATTGGAATAAATATTTTTTTGTTGGCTAATCTGATTAATTAAGAAAATGAATTTGATAACCAGACTCCTTTTCATCCGTCTAGAAATTATAATTATCTTTGTAGAAAAGCAAATGTATAATAAATTAGACTCATACTTTAAAAAGAGTAGGTGATATTGAATCAACCTTAAATCCTCTTACCATGAATGAAGGAATTAGTCACCGTTGTTGACAATGGACACCCAACAATATGTCAATAAAAAAAAACCATAACAAAAAAAAAATAAAACAAAAGAAAGATTACATGATATTGAACTCTCAAACTCAAAAAAAAAAAAAAAAAAATGCTATAAAATTCGCAATGCTACAGTATTCGCATGCTATAAAATATATGAAACAAGTAGGAAAATTATGAAGGAATCAAACACCTCAGTGGAAGGATATTTTCCTTAAAATAAAAGGCGTCCAACTTTGACGATGATGATACTAGGGATGGATCCATTGAGAGAGTTTCAGTCGTCCCATGTGTTGGGTTATATACAAATAGAACCCTCTCTGGATGACAATAGTACTTCTCGATCCCATGCATCAAAACCTTTCCATCAGGGAGTATACCAATGATACATTTTACTTTTGTAAACCATGTCACCGGAAACTCCAACTTCAACTCAGTTGGCACCTCCGCAGCTAGGTAGTTGTTGACTCCGTCGCCGCCACGACCATTATTATAACCGTGATGATGATGATAAGAGATGATACTACATTTACTTATCTTGTACTTATCATCAGGGCACTCCTCGACATCCCGAGTTGACATAGACAACCCAGGCCCAAAATATAATAACCTAGAATCCTTATACCGTTGTGTCGGCTTTGGGAAATCGAAAAACCGCTCATTCGAGAGATCGAAACCAACGATTCTAGAATCTTCTGGATCCTCATCCCAGCATAGAACCCCATTGTAACACTCGCACCTCGACAATAATAATTTCCAAGGCGGAGAATCGATGGTTCTCCAGGGAGACCCGTCTCCCAAGGTAAGAATCTCGCAATTGATAGAGTAGTGTTGGTATTCTAACAAACAGTTTATCTTCACCAATTTGTAAAGTTTCGTAACCGGGTCAAAACCAAGGTGGAAACTGTGTCTGTAATCCTCACCTTTACTAGGCGCCGGAAGCTGAACGGTTTCCCGGGTGGCGATATTGTGCAAGTAAGAAGGGTGGTCGTCAGAGTAATAGAAACAAACCAAACCGTTGACCTGGTTGCTGCATATAATACCCCTTTGTTGATGGCCATGAAAGGTGTGGTCGACGGAAATTCGTTGGTCTTCAAGATTTACGTTAAAAAAATCTATGTCGGATCCAGGGAATCTGAATATACTAGAGATTAGAAACCTTGGCGAGGAACCACGGCGGTTGTGTGATCGAGCGAAAGGGGGATCAAGAATAATCGATCGCCAGGATCGGCAGACGGACTTGAATCGCATAAGTGACTTGGCCGGAAGATAGGATAGGATCTCCTGCACCAATTCCGGTGAGAGATACGGGTAGGAGCACGGCCGCTTACCATCATTCTCCATCGACGTTGATTTTACTAACCGGATGACCTGAACATAAACTTTTGCTGATTCGGTTTCCAATAATCATACAGAGTCTTGGAAGTGTTTGATAAGCGTGTGTGAGAGGGACGAAGTAGAGCGTTACGAATGAAAATCAAAAGCACTTCCTATATTTATATATGGGGAAACATGTGCGAATTTAACTTACTTAATCCTATTCCGGTTCGCATTAGCATTTAGAATTCCGTTTTCCTTCATGATGGACTCACACGTTTACTTATACAATATTTGGTTTGGTCAATGATTCTTCTAGGACAGTTTCTAGCATTCAGGACAACAATTTGTCGATCTTCCAAATCTCATATCACAAATTTCACAATCATTTTATACCTCTTTTAATATGATACTACCAGCATTCAAGAAATTTGATTTTGATAGAGAGCATCAAATTAGAAGAGGTATAAAATGGTTATCTGTTATCAGACAAGGTTCTTTGCACAATTTTCGTCCTAGGAAAATCACGCAATATATCTATCAAACGATTGTGCGTTGTTCTTTATAACTTGTGCTAAGCAAACTAAAAGTAAGAAATTTGGAGTAATAAGAACCGACCGTAGGCCAGACCTTATTAAATTATTGAATGATCAAGTACAACTTCCGATGATCGGCCCAGTCTAGAGAGCTCTTGAAAAATCTTAATTTTAGAGATAAAATCGGAAATAAAGACTGAAAATTTAAAGAAAGCAATTTGATGCAAATTTGATTGTTGTCCTTCCTCCTACCGCTGATTCCTTTACATAGTGCTCGAGTCCCAGTCGGTTTAGAATTCTAACCCAACAACAACTAGACTTCTTTCTCCCGAATCGTGTTTTGGGCCTTCTAGAAGCCTGATTCGCGACCTTCTGCTTCATCTGATCCAACCCACTTTCTCTCCAAATCTTCCAAAGCCCAGTCGAAAGAAACTAGCCCAACACAAGGAATTCAAAAATAGAAGAAAGAAATATAAAATTCTTCAAATTACATCCTGTCTTTGAGGATCAAATTTCTGTGGCTCAAGATAGTACACTTCAGAATAAAAATGAGGTTTTGGGATTGTGAATATCAATGATCAATAGAATGGTGACCGATCCAGACAAAGAACTAGTACAACAAACAAAAGAATTACAAGTAAAGAGTTTTGGCCCAAACTAGGCATAACTAGGCACCGATAGGCGGAGATGCCAGAAATAGGCATATCGAATTTTATAAATCTAATTTCTGGTAAAAACCGATAACAGATCTGATTTTATTTTGATTAAAAGCTAATCATTTCCAAATGACATTTCGGGAAAAAATCGGATTTCAAGAATTCGATTTTGGAGTAATAAATTATTATTTTAAAAAAGTAATTTAAATTACTTAGGAAATTAAAATATATATATATATATAACGGAATCCTGAAATCCGTTTTTATTAAAAACGGATTCATGGAATCCATTTTGTTCTGGTGAAATAAATCGGATTCCCCAATTCCGATTTTAAACAGCAACCTTTAAAAAAAAAAAAAGAAAAACTGGATTTGTTTTCAGCCAGTCCAAACCTATATCAACACAGGAAACCAGATTTTACGAAAAAAAAAACAAAATCAATACAAAAAAGCACAAAACGAAACCACATACTATTTCAAACATAATAGTTGTCTTAAAAACATAGAAGAGCTAAAATTTCAAACTCCAAACCCTAAACAAGTTCAATTTATAAGGCAAAATCCAAACCCTAAACAAGTTCAAAATAAAAGGCAAAATGTTGCGCTTCCAATCGAATTCAAGGGGGAGTGTACAATTTGATTTTTTACGCTTCCTAGAGCTCATCCCCCGTGCTTTCTTTTTTTGGGAGGATTCTTTACGAGGGGGTGTAGTCTCTTCCTCGCTCTCTTCCTCGATCTCTTCCTCGCTTTCTTTGTCGCTTTCTTCATCATCTTTTCCTTCTTCCTCGTCGACTATCATAGAATCATGATATGGAACAATTCTCCAATTTGTGCTTGATTGGCCATAGTCGGCTTGTAAGGGACGAGGCATGAGAGGGTTGCGGCTATTGGGATAGAGTCGATTGACTTTCTACATGTCTCTGACTAGACACCGTGCTCAACGCGTCAGGACCAATAGTCAGGGCAGTGAAGGAGTTATTGAATACCTCCTCAATCATTACATTAAGGGCAAGGTCTCTGGTCAAGTATTTGGTACGATACTTATCAACAACGTGATAAATATCATTGAGGGTGTCGGTCTACAAAAATGAAATTGTCATATAATTTTTTTATTTTATTGGTTACTAGTAATAAAATTAAATATAAGTAATTGATAAGTAAAATTAATTGAAATATTTACATATAAAATTTTGCGTGCTGAAGATGGCTGATAGCCCTGAGTCCCGTACCCGCATTTCTTCGGATCACTAATGAGTTTCACAGTTCACCTATGAAATGAAGGGAGGTATTTAGCGACAGCTTGAGGCAGTAGGCCCTCTATTACTTCCTCGTCTTCTACCATATTAGACCTCCTATTATCCCAATGCGGGTTGACATCATCATGAAAGGTCTTCCATCCCTTGCCTGATTTCCCATTCCCCTTATTTTCTTCCTGTATAGCCCTCCAAACATTAATGTCACAACGAATCAATAGGTTCTCAGGCTGAGTTTACCAACAATTAAATTGACGCAAAACTCGGTTGGGCTCATGAGGTTCCCGAATGGATTGGAAGAAAATCCATGTCCTTGTTTTCCAAACATGACTGTCCTGCTTACAGAAAGCGCCAAGCTTCTTGAGGAAAGAAGTGTAAGGCAACCACAGAAACTACATAAAATGAAAAACAACAAGCAGAGTTAGTTTAGAAAAAATAGCAATGAAAAAACTAAATAAAACATTAATACATGACAATGAGAAAAAATACTTACATCACCATTCCTTATAAGAGCTAATTGATCCCTGATCAGGGGTAAACAGCCCTTGGGGACATTTGCTTGAGAGAACGGGCAATTCTAACTATTTAGGCACAAGATGCATGTAGTTGTGAGGAAATAGAAAAAAAATTAAATAAAAAATTAAATACAAGAAATTTTCACATGAAAATGCTTTACTTATGAGCTAATGGTGCTTCCGGATCCATAATAGGATTAGGAGGCACGACGTTCCTGATGGGTTGAATCCTTGGAATGCGCTCCACAGCCCAAACATGTAATAGTTAACAATGACACTAAATTTAAGAATAACAGTAGCTAAAAAAAAAATCAAAATCAACATACCACCAAAGCATACTGCGCCAATATAGTGCAGCCGCTCAAGTCATTATGGCCTAATTGACATGCATTACACAGACCATTATACAAAAATGCCAAGACTGTTGAACCCCAATTAAGCTGACCACATGACTCTAAATCCTCAATATGTATCAAATAGCTCAGAGGTATCTTGTTTCCGCTTTTGTCCGCGAACAAGAAAGAAGCCAATAAATATAAAATAACAGCTCGAGCCCTCTTGTCGTAAGCTTCAACGTCATCGGGTAAGTCTGTTGGAAGTTAGTGTTTTAGCTTGGCTTCAAGGGGTTCCGCATATATCTTATAACCAACGAAATCGGGAGAGCTAGGAGCAAAACCACACAATTTGTTGCAATATTCAATCCATTGAGCCCTATGAAAACCGATTGTTCTCCCCAAGACGGCGGGACCATCCATGCGAAGCCCAAACAACACCTCAACATCTTGGAGGGTGATTGTGGCCTCGACATCATAAAAGTGGAACGTATGGGTCTCAGAACACCACCATTCCAACAAGGCAGTTATTACTGCATTGTCCAGGGTAATTTCCCTAATTTTTAAGATCCCCCCAAAACCGGCTCGGGTAGTCTTATCTAATACAGGTTTTGGGGCGTCTTGTAAAGGCTCCCAGAATCGGTGATCAAATCTCCTATTTTCAACCTTTTCGACCTAATATTTGGAGCTATATCTTCAAAGATGGCTTTAAACCTATGGACATCTTGTAGATATAACAACTCCTTATTAACCGGACCCGGATCAAGATATTTTTATGTGTGTTGCGAGGATGAACTCGCCATATTCCTACACCTACACAAATTTAATAAAAATAGAAAATAAACTACTATTCCATAGCTCAACTTCACAATATATGACTTTAGACAGAATCGAAAACAAAGCCATTGCACAGTGAATATATGCAACTTAGAGAGAAATTAACATGTGAAGACAGTAAAGTTTCCCCCTTTTATGATTTTCAGAACCCAACAGAAGATTAGCCTAGCAAAAACCAAAATATCTATTACATATTTCACAGATTGCATATATTGCCAAAGGAAAATTGACAACTAAACTAGAGCAGCAAAATGAAAGCTGTCAAAAATACTAAGTAGTTAGCTCCACAACTCAATTAAGATTTCAAAACCATTGCAAAAACAGGCCAATAATTGTAAACTTATGCAACCTACACTGATTACATTGCATAGCAGTTATTACAATGCTTCGTTGAGACAAATAGCAGTAGTCTAAGGACCAGAAAAATGAAATTAAATAAACGAAAAGGCATTACCTGTGAGGGGAATAGGAGGAGAGGGGAACACCGGGAAAGGACATGCCAGACGGGGGGGACAGTAGAGTCGACGTTAGGACGGGAGGCAACGTCAAGAGAGAATAGTGTCACCGGGAGTGGATTGGAGACGGCTGGAGTCAAAGGGCATCGCCGGGCTTTACAGGACAAGAAATCGATGGCTAGGGTTCGTCCGCTGATTGGGGGGTTTCTGGAATGGGTGGCGGGAGTTGAATTGGACGCGTTGCTGGATTTGGATTGGTCGTCGGATTTGGGGGTGGGAGTTGGTCAGGGTTCAGCCACGTCGAATTGGACGAGTCGTTGGGATGGGAGCTTTGTTTTGGATGGTGATATTCAATTGGATTTGGCCAAGGGAGTCGATTGGATTGGATTGGACTGGAGGTACATCGGCGGCTAGGGTTCGGCCGCCAATTTGGGGAAAATGAT